AAAACCCAATATGTGTAAATTAATTGGTTTACATGAAAGTTATAGCGTTTACAAATGGCGGGAAAGACACTGGGATTTTTAGTTTTTTTATACTAATAATGGCGGAAATCAGTAACTTATGGCGGCGATCAGTGACTTATGGCGGCGATCAGCGACTTATGGCGGGACTGCGGGACTGCGACGGACATTCTGACATTGGGGGGTACTGACTTGGGGTCACTGACATCCCCAGTGACACCAAAACAGTGATCAGTGAAAAAAAAAAAAAAAAAACACTGACACTGTACTAGTGGCACTGGGGAGGAAGAGGTTAACTTTATTTTTCAGGGAAGGGTTATCTGTGTGAGGGGGAGTGTTTTACTAAGGGGCGGGGGTGTGTACTGGATGGGGACAGGCTGATCGAGAGAGAGAAACTCTTCTGTCCCGATCAGCTTGTCCTCGAGCTGTCAGGGAAGTGACAGAAAGCACAGCTACTGCAGCTGTGCTCTCTGTCACTGATTGCCGCCAATCGCCGGGAGATAGCGGTAAGGACCGGCTGTGACCCGGTGACTGACATCCGCGGCTGTGATCGGCGGGGGACAGGTAGGGCGGCAGCGCGCCTCACGCGCGCCCCCTACCTGTTTATAAAACACACGTTTTAAAACGTGGTTTTGCCTGCCGTGCTCTACTGCCAACATATTTATACAGTGGCTGGGCGGCATGTGGTTAAAGTGGTTCTAAAAGGCTGAACGTTTTTTTTACCTTAAAGCAGAACTCCGAGCAAAACATTCTTTACATGTCCTTGTTGCTGATTTCCTACCTTCACTGAATATGTCATCCGATCTTCTGGTTCACTCAGTAGTTGCTCTGAAATTATACGTTTTCAAATCAAACTGTTAATTCTCTTTGGTTTCCTTTTTGTAAGCCCTGTGGCTGCTATGCCTCCTATTACCCCAGCCACTTCTCTTGCACATCCCTTCTGTAGTTCTTTCTCCAAGAAGTAGTGATGTAATTGCAGTGGTGGGCAGACCCGAGACTCTCAGACACATTCAACATGTACAGCAATGCACTCACCCACACATTCACTACAATTCCCTGTGGTTGATGGGAACTGTAGTTTCCTTTTACTGTAGAAAGGAGAGGATATGATGTAATCCCTGCTGTTACAAGCCTCCTCCTTGGCAGAGCAGATGCTGTTATCTTTTGAATTACAGAGATGAGTTCATGGAAATTCAATTTTTCTCCTAAACAGTAAGGATTTTCAAAATTGTATTAACTTTTTAGTGTTTTGTGTAGGGTGGGTGCAGTAATTGGTGATTTTTTTGCCTATCTCAGAGTTCTTCTTTAATGCATTCTATGCAATAAAGATAAACAACCTTCTAAATGTAGGGCCAATCCTTATACTTACCTGACCCAAACGTTGATAAAGAGCTGTGCACAAGAGCAGAGGATCTCTCTGCTCTCTTCCTCCTCATATGCTCAGAAATAGCAGAGGAAGTGATTGACTCCTGCTGCTGTCAATCACAACCAGTGAGGAGGGAGTGGTGGGCAGGGTCAATCCAAGCTTCATATTTCAATTAACACACAGAGTGTGGCCTGCATGAATGCCCCCATAGCAAGCAGCTTGAAATGGGGACCTTCAGAAGGAGGGAGGAGCCAGGAGTGCCAAAACCAGTGCGCAGAGCAAGTAAAGTATACCATGTTTGTTATTTGAAAAAAAAAAAAAAGATCCTTTACTTTAATGATCTTTAACCTCCTTGGCGGTATTCCCGAGTGTAGCTCGGGGTAACATTTCAGTACCAAAAGCGGTAACCCCGAGCTACACTCGGGAATACCATGCGGCGCTGCTCCGGCATGTTGTTCTTCACTTACCTTACCCTGCGCTCCCACGATGTGTCCCCTGCAGCGTCCCCGGCCATCTCCTCCGGCCGATGCCGGCATCCGGCTTCTGTGTCCTGTCCCTGTGACGTCGGGACGTACGGGCGCCGCCGCCGCCGGCGGCGGGGAAAATTTAAAAAATTTTAAAAAATGTCATTTTTTTTTTTTTTTCATTTTACACAGTAAAACATTGCTGTTTCAACCTATTTCACATACATATTGTCCCTAGTGCTTTGTCCTGTGCCCTGCCTGCATTTTGTCTGTTCTTTCTGCCTGGAAACTGAGAAATGTCCATGGCGTCCAAAAAGTGTCCCTTTAGGTCAAAAGCGGTTTAGATCAGCTAGAGAAACAGCGATAGTAAATCAGAACCACTTACAGAATTGAGTGATAATGATTCGTGGGGGAAATTCGTCATCAGAAACTGAAAACGATTTTGCAACTGAGCTCAGCAATGTGCGAACTTGGCGCTCTATTTCACATTTCAGTGTTTTTGGTTTGATTATATTATTGAATTAAATTTTTTATTATTTTTTATATTATTTTTATGATTATTTATTAAATTATAATTTATGATTTTGTGTTTCAAATTTTATCCTACCCGGGATGTTTACTAGACTCTTGTTCGGACAGATTTCAGTGAGTTTTTCCTAAAAATTACAGCCTACAATAAAAAAATACATATTTCCATGCAAAAAAATGGTACCGCTTTCAGCACCAAAAAATCTGAAATAATCATACCGCCAGGGAGGTTAACTTAAAAAAAGTACATATATAAACAAGAAAAAAAATTGGTGTGGCGCTAAGATAAATACCACTAATACCACATATCATATAAAATATACATAAATAATTGAATAGTCATGCATAAAACATAACCCCTAACTGGGGCACGTGAATGAATACTAGTGATGGTGACACAAAAACACCATGCAAAAGGGATTCCTACAGGTGACAAAGGTGCATAGATTACAGTCCACTATACACGAAGACTGCAATCCTTGAACAAGCGTGAAAGTGCCACTGGTGCCACTGGTGTCACAATCCGGAAATGGTAAGAGTGCCTCCTCACCTCCCCGCACTGACCACAAGGGCCAATACGCCTTTGCACCTTATAGGTGTAATCCTCGAGTGCCAGCCGATAAGGTCCACACTGGATGCTACCTCAGACGCTGTGCTCCCAAATGCCAAATCCAGCTGCTCTATAGTGGTGGTATTAGACCACCAGATGATGCTCAGAGATATAAAGAGAGACTTGCCATAGCGTGATACCGTAACATTTATTAATAAGATGTAAGCAATTAAAATGTCCACTCACATGTCCACATTAAAAATATAGCCTTAGAATGCTCCTCCTGTATCCTCGTGCTATGGGTGTACCCTTCATCCCTGATGAAGTCACGTGGTATTCGTGACGCAACGCGTTGGTACGCCCTGACGACACTTCCGGTACGCGGTGATGTCATTTCCGACGCACGCGCCATATTGGGACTCCGGGTACACCCATAGCACGAGGATACAGGAGGAGCATTCTAAGGCTATATTTTTAATGTGGACATGTGAGTGGACATTTTAATTGCTTACATCTTATTAATAAATGTTACGGTATCACGCTATGGCAAGTCTCTCTTTATATCTCTGAGCATCATCTGGTGGTCTAATACCACCACTATAGAGCAGCTGGATTTGGCATTTGGGAGCACAGCGTCTGAGGTAGCATCCAGTGTGGACCTTATCGGCTGGCACTCGAGGATTACACCTATAAGGTGCAAAGGCGTATTGGCCCTTGTGGTCAGTGCGGGGAGGTGAGGAGGCACTCTTACCATTTCCGGATTGTGACACCAGTGGCACCAGTGGCACTTTCACGCTTGTTCAAGGATTGCAGTCTTCGTGTATAGTGGACTGTAATCTATGCACCTTTGTCACCTGTAGGAATCCCTTTTGCATGGTGTTTTTGTGTCACCATCACTAGTATTCATTCACGTGCCCCAGTTAGGGGTTATGTTTTATGCATGACTATTCAATTATTTATGTATATTTTTATATGATATGTGGTATTAGTGGTATTTATCTTAGCGCCACACCAATTTTTTCTTGTTTATATATGTTCTTTTTGGTGTAAAGGAGGGTGTTGGCAGCTTAGTGTAGCTTTTTTCTTCATCTAAAGCGCAGGAGGTATTATTATATTTTACTCTATAACTTAAAAAAAGTCCCATCTATTGCTCTAAGCCTCTTCCAAATTTCCAAATTCCTTTTTTATTGGATAAGCTGGCGAGACATTACAAGGAAGAAGAAAAAAAAAAAACAGTAAGAAATGATTTCATGAAAAATTGTAAAAAAAAAGGATTTAGTTTAGTGTCACTTTAATTGAACTCTGATCAATTCAGCTAAATACATTCCACAGGCTTTATGCCTTACAGTACTTACCTGTGACTCGGCTTCCAGCAGCTTTCTGTAAGTTCTGATGATGTCACTGTACTTCACCGCTGCCTCCTGGGAAAGCTGAGTACAAAAAAATCCAGAAAATAGTACATTGCAGCACTGTGCAGGAGGACATTATTTTGGGGTTTGGGGTGCTCACCTCTTCTGAGGCACCTGCAAGACAAAGTGTTTTCATCTGTGCTTTAACTCCTTCCAGCCCGGCCTATTGTACGATGACGGCCGAGCGGGATCCCTTTCATCCCCACTGGCCATGTCACTGGCTGTGTCTAACGCTGCCAATGCCATGTGATCGTTGTGACCAATCACAGCAGGTCACATGACAGTTTTAAACAACGAATGACTTCCTTTCATGCCATTCATCACTTTCAACTGTGCTGCTAGCTGTGATTGGTCACAGTGATCACATGTACAGACTGAGCCAATCACAGCCCATCTGTAGCATGTGATCAGCTGTGGCCAATTACAGCTGATCACAACAAAAACTGATTGAATCAGTTTTATTCAGTATAAATGCTTGGTTATACCAATGAAAATTTGTTTGTATAAGCAATCATAATGTGTAAAAATAAAAAAAAAAAAAATGCAAAATCACGTATTTATACACGTGATTTTACTCACCCTTGCCGCCCTGTAGCAGTATTTCTGCTATAGGGTGGCGGTAAAGCGGTTAAAGAGACCTTGGGGCAGGGGCAGACTGACAACTCATGGGGCCCCCGGGCAATAGGGGATCATAGGGCCCCTGTGTCCTTGCCCAAACTCAAAAAAGCCTATGAAAAAGGTACCAGGGGCATCTCATGGGGCCCCCTACTGACCCCGGGCCCTCAGGCAGTGCTCGAGTTTCCAAAAGGTCAGTCTGCCCCTGCCTTGGGGTTTATTTAATAAAGCTGGAGAGTGCAAAATCAGGCTCACTTCTGCATAGAAACCAATCAGCTTCCAGGTTTTTTTTGCCAAAGTTTAATTGAACAAGCTGAGGTTAGAAGCTGATTGGTTTCTATGCAGATATGAGTCTGATGTTGCACTTTCCAGCTTTAGTAAATAAACTCTCTTGTTGCCAGATCAATCATTTCAACACCAAACTTCCCATACCATTATGGCTTTGATTTACTAAACTGGAGAGTGCAAAATCTGGTGCAGCTCTGCATAGAAACCAATCAGCTTCCAGGATTTATTGCCAAAGCTTAATTGAACAAGATAAAGTTAGAAGCTGATTGGCTACCATGCACAACTGCACCAGATTCTATGTGCTCTAGTTTTATCAAATCTACCTTAAAGAGTCAACCCAAAAAGTAATACATGGTCTGGTAGGCTGAATCAGCCCCTGGCTTCCTTTATGCATTGTAGATTGATCAGATGTATTTGTAACCAGTTTTAGAAAATCAACCCCTATATTTCGTTTCTGGCTGTAATTTACCTGTAGAATGTCCCTTAGACATTCAAAAGCCCTGAGACAGCTGCTGGGTGCTGCCATCTTGGAAGTATTGTCAGCAGCCCCAGCAGACTTTGAGTTGTCTCTAAAGAATTCCCCCAGCAGCTACATAAAAGGTAGAGAGATGAGGGGAGGGGCAGAGGAGCTGGGCCAGCACAGACTGTAATTAGACACTTTCAGAAGAGGAGAGGGCTATGAAATACACTGAGGGAAAGGGAAGTGTGGCCATGCTAGGAAATTAATGCTTCCTGGACTAGATGAATCACATAGCAAGTTCAAAGGCAATTTTGTAAGTGAATACAAAATGGTTTATGGAAAGCAAAAAAGCTGCAAGTCAGCATTTAAAACACTTGATATTTCTGTGCTTTTAGCACAATTTTTTAAACATAGTAACAGGGTCTCGTTAAGCAAATTGATGCATACCAAGGTTTCAATTACCACTTGATATAAAAGGAATAAATGCGCTATGTTGAAAAAAAAAAAAATGACGAGCAGCACAATGTGCATTACAGAAGAGGCAGCTATGTAAATGTGGCTGTTTATTCATATTTATTCACATCTCAGCTGTGATTCTAATTAAGTTTTCCTCCCAAAGCTGCAAATATACATTAAATAAGCCTAGTATCTCCCGTAACTAATGGTACACCGCGCTATGCTCATTGGCAGCGACAAGGTTAAAAGACCTTTTTTTGGCTTGACAAGACCTTCGAGGTTTTAACATTTTGCAGAAGGCGGGGCTAGCGTTATGTTTTTGTTTAGTATAATGCACTATTATCCCGAAACAAAGTAACATGAACCCACAGGCAAACAGCTCAATTACTGTTGTTGTTACTGCATATAATTACCTTAGCAATCTCCGTAGCGCTAATGTAACATTATTATCCTGACTTAATGGAGCCTTGTTATTCCATTGCTAAGTACTGCAAAAATATTGTACGTTTTCCAAAGAGTGACACTTTTCTCTAAAATACTAGATTGGATGCAGGTGATTGCACAGAATTGCTTTTATTCCACTTATTTTTAGTAATATTTACATACAACTTTTACATTTTTTGAAATCAAAGAGTTTTTATTGAAGAGGTTTTACTAATTTCTTTGTGTTTTATTTTTCTTCCTGTACAATAAAGAAAAACACAAAGCCTCCCTAGTAAGGGGTCTTTCCTTCTCCTGACATACAGTAGGCAGCTTCCATTGAGACAAGTGACATTTAAGAAAAACATTGTAGAATATATTATATAGATTTAGATTAGTATCACAACAAGGCACAGATTGTATGAATCTATTGTCTTTCATTCCTAAATAATTGGTATAATAAAATAACTAGACATGTACTTTTAGTTTCGAATACGTTTTCGAGATGAAAATTTTTATTTCAGATGTATACGAGTCAACGAATAGACATAGTAACAAATCCGAGAAATAGTTATAATGAAATTAACGAGCGCGTTTGTTTCATTCAGATGACGTCACATGATGCAATAGTAGTTTGGGCCCATGGGGAAATTAATCCAGTTTTCAAATTTGTTCGATAATTTGGATTCTGATAATGAATAGATCCGAATTTCATTCCATTCATTAATTCAGATGCACATGACCCAGTCCATATTGTCCAATCAGCTCATGCCATTGTTCTTAGTAGGTTGGACCAGGGGCGGACTGACAACTCATGGGGCCCCCGGGCAATAGGGGATCATGGGGCCCGTTATAACACTTACTTTTGCAAAGTAATAGAAATGTAGCAGTTTGTTGATTTAATATTTTCTACTGTTTTTAAAAATGTTAATTAATTAATTTTTTTAGAGTGGAGAGGGGAAGGCGCAAGTAGCTGGTCTTGCCTAGGGCGCAAAACAGTCTACCACCGGCCCTGCACGCATCCAGTAGTGAGATCAATAATAGAAAATATATAAGTCAAAGTGGAAGACAAAATAGGCAGCTTGCAATGAGATCGATATGCAAATCCCTCCAGTGTAAATAAATATAAAGTGCAAAACCTAAAGTAATAAAATAATAATTAATGTGCTAATAACTTCAAAAGAATAATTAACTATTTAGATAGGCATATCAAACTTGCAATTCCTCAAAGTAAACTGTATTTCATCCACTAGAATAAATTGTAACTCATCATTTCATTAGAATAAAATCCATTCCTCTGTATATAAATAACAATAAAAAGTTCCACCAGTTTATATAGTGTATGTGTAAAAGCTTCCACTACTAATGTGTGGGCCAACAAACAACTTTGTGATATCTACTGTACAAAAATTGTCACCAAAACTCCACACTCACCAAAGGGTATGGCTGCATGGATTATAGCAGCAGAAACACTTTGTTATGTAGCCCAGGGGCGGACTGACAACTCATGGGGCCCCTGGGCAATAGGGTATCATGGGGCCAGTGTCCTTGCCCAAACTCAAAAAAACCTATGAAAAAGGTACCAGGGGCATCTCATGGGGCCCCCTAATGACCCCGGGCCCTTGGGCAGTGCCCGAGTTTCCAAATGGCCAGTCCGCCCCTGGGTTGGACTAGTGACCGAAAATATCAAATTATTCTGATTGAATCTGTCCGATTTGATAATACACACGATTATAAAGAAATCTTCTGGAAAAACTGCTAAATTTTCGAATGCACCTGGACCAACGAGTCTATGAAATGAATGCCGAAGATATGAAAGAATTTCCAAAAAGAATTGGGTTGAGATAATGAATATAATAAAACTAAATTTTTCAATAAACGAATGCATCCGTAATTAAACAAAATTAAAATTTCCAACATGTCTAGTAATTGCGCCACAACACCTTACTGTCTATTAAGTTTATTGTCCTCTACACCCCATTTTGAATATTTGTCCATGGTTTACAGGCATTGTTTTTATGACCTACAAGAGGTGTTTTTGTGATTTTGCAATACTTTTACCCAAAGATGCATTGGGGGGAATTAATAGAGTGGTGCAAGCAGAAGCGTGCACCACTGTTCTAAAGATGAAAAATGGAGAAGATGCTTCTCCAAATTAGCAAAAGGTATGCAAGCCTTTTTGTTAATTAGGCACAATCAGTTCTCTGTTCTGCCTGGTCAGTGCATACTAGGGGTAATACTCTCCCCAACATCGAAGCACACAGAAACACAGAAAGAACACAAAAACAACATTCAGATATGGTCCTTGGCAGGGGCGGACTGACAACTCATGGGGCCCTCGGGCAATAGGGGATCATGGGGCCCCTGTGTCCTTGCCCAAACTCAAAAAAGCCTATGAAAAAAGGTACCAGGGGCATCTCATGGGGCCCCCTACTGACCCTGGGCCCTCGGGCAGTGCCCGAGTTTCCAAATGGTCAGTCCGCCCCTGGTCCTTGGTGACACTTGAACTCAAAACTGCATAGAAAGAATGCTAGCCACTGTGTCAGTTTCTCAAAGATACAATCAAATGTTAAGCGCAAGACAAAAAAATTAAAAAAGTAAAGCAGCTAGTACAACGTGGCAAACCCTCTATCTGCCACACCCCTTACCCCAACCAAGTTCAATCCCCTAATAAAATCCAAAAAAACAAGCTCAAGGACTGGCTACTTTCTCCTGGATGCAAGTCTGTATAGAAAATACATGTTGCCTGTCTGTGCAGGACTATAGGGGGACCCAAATCTTTAGCGACTCCTACAATACTATTCAAGATTATAAAAATGTTTAATAAGTCATAAATTACTTTAAGCTTGCAATAATTCCCTTGATCTATTGTAATATTTCCCCCAAATACAATCTCTTGCCAAAATGAGCCATGTACAAAGTAAAGTGAAAAAGATTGTCAAGCTCTAAGAAATTCTTCTTTTCATGTGTTTCTTTAAACTTACTAAAAGAAGAATAAAAAAACTTTTCAAGTAAAATAGGGAACAGAAAGAAAAGAAACACTTTTAACTTGCTCAAGAGATGCCTGACCCGCTCAAGCATTGTCTGCATCTAATCCCAGTGAACGGCGGAGCTTAATAAATACAATATGCTGAAAAACATTAAAATTTAATTATGAGCCCACTCATCCCTCACAACAGTAAATGGACCTTCTATTCCCACGCAGGCAACTTTTCAACTTTTAGACTATAATTGGACTGCGTAAATTTTTCTCTGTTTGATCGTTTTCACCCACAAAGTGGGATATCATTTCTAGCTGAGGGAAAGTACAAATGTGCAGGCATGAGGGTAACGTATCACTATAAATATATTCCGGTAGCCCCTCCGGAGCATCAAAAGCAAAAACAAAAGGTACGGAGGAAGAATTATTTATACCCAAGTTTAGTGTTAGAAAAAAATTCATCTTCCTAAAAAAAAACACTTTTTATTGTTTTTCTACAACTCTCTGTAAGATTGAAAGCTGACACTGGAATGTCCTCATAGACACAATCTTGTGCATGTATGAAAATGACACCTCTGCATAACAATAGATAACACTTGGTGCATTATACCCGGAGTGGTATTAATACTACCTGCACCCAGGGGTGTATTTACCACAAGGCAAACAAGGCATTTGCCTAGGGCGGCATTTTTCAGGGGGGAAGCAGCATTGTTTAGGGGAGAAGCACCGTCCCCCCAAAAGAAGGAAAGGAAGAAGAGACACACGTAGCACGGAGAACAGGTGGGATCTGAGAGAGGCTGGGGACTGCTTGATGGTGTATGCAGAGCCTGACTCTTGTTCCTGGAAATGTCCGGAGCTGTGAAGGTGAGTGCCTTATCTTTTGATGGGGTGGGCTTGCCAGTGTATGGGGGGCGTTGGTAATGGAAGGCTCTCTCGGGTGGGGGTGGGGCTGGGGTGTTTGTTGGTCAATGTCAGGCTCTCTTCGTGGGGGAGGGGGGTGTTGGTCGGTGTCAGGGTCTCTCCGTGGAGAGGGGAGCCAATTTTTGTGTTACCTAGGGCAGCACAAAACCTAAATACACCACTGCCTGCACCCTTTGCATAGATCTTTGATATATTATATATACTGTATATATATATATATACAGTCAGGTCCATAAATATTGGGACATCGACACAAATCTAACATTTTTGGCTCTATACACCACCACAATGGATTTGAAATGAAACAAACAAGATGTGCTTTAACTGCAGACTGTCAGCTTTAATTTGAGGGTATTTACATCCAAATCAGGTGAACGGTGTAGGAATTACAAGAGTTTGCATATGTGCCTCCCACTTGTTAAGGGACCAAAAGTAATGGGACAATTGGCTTCTCAGCTGTTTCATGGCCAGGTGTGTGTTATTCCCTCATTATCCCAATTACAATGAGCAGATAAAAGGTCCAGAGTTCATTTCAAGTGTGCTATTTGCATTTGGAATCTGTTGCTGTCAACTCTCAAGATGAGATCCAAGGAGCTGTCACTATCAGTGAAGCAAGCCATCATTAGGCTGAAAAAACAAAACAAACCCATCAGAGAGATAGCAAAAACATTAGGCGTGGCCAAAACAACTGTTTGGAACATTCTTAAAAAGAAGGAATGCACTGGTGAGCTCAGCAACACCAAAAGACCCGGAAGACCATGGAAAACAACTGTGGTGGATGACCGAAGAATTCTTTCCCTGGTGAAGAAAACACTCTTCACAACAGTTGGCCAGATCAAGAACACTCTCCAGGAGGTAGGTGTATGTGTGTCAAAGTCAACAATCAAGAGAAGACTTCACCAGAGTGAATACAGAGGGTTCACCACAAGATGTAAACCATTGGTGAGTCTCAAAAACAGGAAGGCCAGATTAGAGTTTGCCAAGCGACATCTAAAAAAGCCTTCACAGTTCTGGAACAACATCCTATGGACAGAGGAGACCGAGATCAACTTGTACCAGAGTGATGGGAAGAGAAGAGTATGGAGAAGGAAAGGAACTGCTCATGATCCTAAGCATACCATCTCATCAGTGTCATGGCATGTCATGTGGGCATGTATGGCTGCCAATGGAACTGGTTCTCTTGCATTTATTGATGATGTGACTGCTGACAAAAGCAGCAGGATGAATTCTGAAGTGTTTCGGGCAATATTATCTGCTCATATTCAGCCAAATGCTTCAGAACTCATTGGACGCCCTTCACAGTGCAGATGGACAATGACCCAAAGCAGACTGCAAAAGCAACCAAAGAGTTTTTTAAGGGAAAGATGTGGAATGTTATGCAATGGCCAAGTCAATCACATGACCTGAATCTGATTGAGCATGCATTTCACTTGCTAAAGACAAAACTGAAGGGAAAATGCCCCAAGAACAAGCAGGAACTGAAGACAGTTGCAGTAGAGGCCTGGCAGAGCATAACCAGGGATGAAACCCAGCGTCTGGTGATGTCTATGCGTTCCAGACTTTAGGCTGTAATTGACTGCAAAGGATTTGCAACAAAGTATTAAAAAGTGAAAGTTTGATTTATGATTATTATTCTGTCCCATTACTTTTGGTCCCTTAACAAGTGGGAGGCACATATGCAAACTGTTGTAATTCCTACATCGTTCACCTGATTTGGATGTAAATACCCTCAAATTAAAGCTGACAGTCTGCAGTTAAAGCACATCTTGTTCCTTTCATTTCAAATCTATTGTGGTGGTGTATAGAGCCAAAAATGTTAGAATTGTGTTGATGTCCCAATATTTATGGACCTGACTGTATATATATATATATATATATATATATATATATTTTTTTTTTTTAAATATATATTTCTCTTTTCTAAACACACAGTGATAGGATGACAGCAGATAACTTGCTGTAGGAAATCAGGCACAGGGAGGATAAACTTACCAATGTAACAATGCTTCACTTGAGCAATAAACTTACAAAACAATTTTGCATACAAGATTTCAAGTATAAAGCCTCCATCCTTAACCACTTGCCCTCCGGAAGATTTACTTGACCAGGCCATTTTTTGCTATATGACAATTGCAACACTGTACCCAAATAAAATGTATATCATTTTTTTCACACAAATAGAGCTTTCTATTGGTGGTATTTGATTGTTACTGGGGGTTTTTTTTTGTGCTATAAATGAAAGAAGACTAAAAAATTATATTTTTTACTTTTTGCTATGAAGCATATTATTAACAACATACAATTTCTTCATAAATTTAGGCCAAAATGTATCCTACTACATGTCTTTGGTGAAAAAAAAATCCCAATAAGTGTTTATTCATTGGTTTACGTGAAAGTTATAGCTTCTACAAATGGCAGTATATATAATATCTCCCCAGATGTTAACCCCTTCCTGCCCAGTGTCATTAGTACAGTGTCAATAATTTTTATTAGCACTGATCATTTTATTAGTGTCACTGGAGATGCCAGTGGCAGCTAGTCAGTTCCCACCCAGTGTCAGTTAGCGTCAGAATGCTCGCCATACTATCGCAGCCCCGCAGTTGCTGATCGCCGCCATTACTAGTATAAAAATAAATAAATATATTTATTTATTTTTTATACTAGTAATGTATTGTTATATATATTTATTTATTTTTATACTAGTAATGGCGGCGATCAGCAACTGCGGGGCTGCGATAGTACGGCGAGCATTCTGACGCTAAACTGACACTGGGTGGGAACTGACTAGCTGCCACTGGCATCTCCAGTGACACTAATAAAATGATCAGTGCTAATAAAAATTATTGACACTGCACTAATGACACTGGGCAGGAAGGGGCTAACATCTGGGGAGATACTAGTGGACATGCTGGTTTTTATCTCCCTGTTTGCATAGAGATAAAAGCCAGCACATCCCCACTGACAGGAAAGAGATCTGTGTTGTTTACACTCACAGATCTCTCTCCTGTCAGCTGCTTCACTGATCGCTGAATTCCAGTCATGAATCACTGGACGGGACCCGGTGATTGACACCTATAGAAGCCAATGACAGCGCAGGTAAGAGGGCTTGTGTGCCCTTTACCCGGAAATACAGAATCATGTACATATACCAGATTTTGCACAGAGAGGATGTCCTGTAGCAGTAAAACTGCTACAGGCTGGTCGGCAAGTGGTTAAAAGAAAACAGGCGCTATAGCCAGATTCTGTGCTCTTTGCCTATAGCAGCCCCCTTTCCCATAAGGCAAGGAGGCCTACCAGTGCTCATTTGTCCTCAGGTGTTATATCCAATGCTATAGTGCCTGGCTACCATGAACCATGCACAGCGAACAGGTCATTGCGTTGATTTGGCTGACAGGCAGAGTTGTCAGTGGCAGTCTGGGCTCAGAGCAGGCAGTGTTCAGAGAGTAGTGGTCCAAAGGCAGGCTGAGTTCAGAGCATAGTCAAAGTCCAATCTGAGATTGATAACAGGTGTAGCACTACCCCCTTGGGGGTTGCTGTTGAATTTGGGTCCCCCTATAGTCCTGCACAGCCAGTCAGTGAGCATTCTCCA